AAAAAAAAAAAAAAATTCCGAGTCTGTCACCTACTACTTTACATTTGGCTAGGCAATTTACTGAACTTCTGATTAATCTGTAAAATGAATTGAAGGGTTTCTCAAAGGGTTTTTATAAGCATTCTAACCCTCAAGCCTAAGTCTAATGCCTAATACTAGAATGGACTCTGCTCTGGTTTGAGCATTCCTGGATGCATGTTATGCCCACACCATCCTCTCTCTACAGGTATGCTCCATCCTCTGGTCTCCGCACTACAAGGAGCTCATCTCAGGCCATGGCTTTGCTCAGAACCAGCTGGTTATTTGGAAGTACCCAACCATGGCTAAGGTGGCTGAGCTCAAAGGTAAGTGGCTAAATGAAAGAAGCCAGACACAAAAGGCCATGTGTATGACTCTGTATATGAAATGTCCAGAATAAAGGGAGACAAATTAGTATTTATCAGGGGCTGAGAAGGTAATGGGATGTGAGAAAGTTTGGGGATTAAATGGTTGCACAGTGGTATGCATGCACTGAAAACCACTAAACTACTGTTAAAAGGGATTAATTGTATATTTCAATCAAAATTGGAAGGCCAGGGCTAAAGAGATAGCTCTCAGTGGTCCAAGTGCCTGCCTGGCAAGTGCAAGGACCCACGTTTGATCCCCAGTACCACATGCCATGATGGCCATCAAAACCAGACATAGCGGTGCACACCGAGACAGGATCACTACAAGTCCAAGCTGCATAGTGAGACCCCCACCAAATAAATAAATACATACATAAGTAAATAAATAGGAAGGCCATGGGTGTCTACATTTGAATGCACTGCTCTCACTCCCACTCCCCAGGTCACACAGCCCGGGTCTTGAATCTGACTATGAGTCCAGATGGAGCCACAGTGGCATCAGCGGCAGCTGATGAGACCCTGCGACTATGGCGCTGCTTTGAATTGGATCCTGCACGACGGCGGGAGCGGGAGAAGGCCAGTGCAGCTAAAAGCAGCCTTATCCATCAAGGCATTCGTTGAAGACAAACCCACACCTCAGTTGTTTTTTATTTTTCTAATAAAGTCATGTCTCTTATTGTATGGCATGTGTCCCAGCAGCCTTCTCAGAGGCTCCTTTCTACTGTGAAAACTTGTTTTATTGAGAGAGGGTCTCACTATGTAGTCCAGGCTGGCCTTCCAAGTGCTCGGATTACAGGTATACTGTACCACACCTGGCTCAGAGAACTTCTTAAAAGTATCTTACAGATGCTGGGTGTGGTGGTGCATCCTGTACTCCCAGCACTGAGGTGGCTGAGGCAGGAGGATCACTTCGAATTCAAGACCAGCCTAGGCTAGAAAGTGAGATCATGGCCAGCCTGATCTGCATAATGAAACCCTGTCTCAATTAAAAAAAAAAAATCTATCTATCTATCTATCTATCTATCTATCTATCTATCTATCTATCTTACAGGAGACTTCACCCTCCTGTTCACAGACAAGGCTAAATCAGCTCTACCTGGGTTCCCCCTTCCATTCACACATGTACATTACAGTCTACAGTCTCAGTTTCCTCTGTCACTTTAATTAAGATACAAGTGAATGAGTACACGGCCTCTCCAACTTGCATTCCCAGGCCACCCACCTTTGATCTTTGGCCCAGAAGCTTCTCTGCTTCTTGTGGAGTGGAGGAGGGAGAGGGAGCCTTGGTCCATAGTGACAGATTATTGCTGACCTCTTCAGTGTGAGGAAAAAGGCCACAAGACCCTGGTGGGGACCAGCCCTGAGTGTTTCTTTCCCAAGTTTCAGGCAGGGAGACGAGAGTAAGTGTCCAGCCCTTTCAGCCTCCAGCTGTGGAGTGGCAGAGGGCAATGAAGCCACACCCCCAGAGCTGGCTGGCAGAAGTGGAACAACGGAAGCACTGGTCCCTGTAGACCAGCTGTGAGGAGGGAGAGTCCCCGCTCAGTCCTGACCACAGAAGCCCCATCAAAGGAGTAGTGGAGAGGACTTGGATGGATGCTGCCCGAGGTGCAGTCCTGAGGCACTTAGGTGGGCGCCTATCTAGGCCATGCTTCTCAGTTGGCCTTGACCTTGGCGATACCTGGAGCACCATTTTGCTGAAGTACACGGGGCAGCCGCTTGCCTTTGGTGTAAGACTGATACCAGAAATTAGAGAAGAGCACAAAGAAGATGGTGCCATACATCCAGATGAGGTGGATGATGATTGGGTACTGGTAGTTGCAGCTGGGCATGAAGTAGTACTGGCTGATGTGCAGTGAGACCAGAACGAACTGGATCTAGGATGAAGAAAGGCAAGGATTAGGAAAGACAACTTGGGCCGGGGAGATGGCTCAGTAGAGTAAGTGCTTGCCTGGCAAGCGCAAGGGCCTGAGTTCAATCCCTGGTTCTGCCCAAAAAAAAAAAAAAAAAAAAAAAGACAACTTGAAAAGGGGGAGATGAGGAACTAGAGAAGATAGACCAATGCTGCACAGGGAAGAATGGGGTTAAAGATGAGATGGTTGGGATAAAGATAGAATTCCAACTAGGAGTGTCAGAGGGGATGGGTATAGACCATCAGGCCCCTCACCAGCTGAATGGCTGTCATGTGCTTTTTCCACCAAAGGTAGGGCTGAGCCACAGGCCCGAGGGCAGACAACCCATAGTACAGGTACATGACAACATGCACAGAGGAGTTTATCATCGCATGGAAAGAGCCCATTCCTCCTGTGAGGGGACAGTAAAACAAGGTTAGAAGAATCAAGACTCACTCACTAGTCTTCCCCAGTGGCCTTTAGCACTCACCTGGGGCAAAATTTATCCCCCACCACCAGCTCCAGGGAAGCACTGAATGATGGAAGACATGTAGGAAAGTCACCTGCCCATCTTTCTTTCGGAGAATAAAGATCACCTGAGAGAAGAGTGAGGGAAGGTTCAGAGATAGGGCCTTTCCTCTACTCTCAAGTTCTCCTATCTCCTATAACTACTTACCGTGTCCATCAGCTCAATGTACTTGGAAAAGAGGAAGAGCCAGGCCACTCGAACCATCTGTAAGAAGTAGGGCAGCCTTAGGACCCCACATACTGCTCTAAGAGCCTCCCTAAACTGGGCCATAAACATAGATCATATCTAAACTTTCCCCAACTCCAGGCTGCCTAAGACCTAGCCCCAGCCTCTACTTACCCTAAGTGCCTCTGGGCTGTTGGAAAAGTCCACAGGGTCACACCGCCAGGTGTAGGTACTCAGCCAGCCAGACATCAGGAACTAGGAAGTGGTGTATGAATCAGACCACCAGAGTTCTGCTTTCAAAGCATCCCTCCCCGTCTCTAGCTCAAATGGAAGAAGTAAACCTGAATCTTTCCAGAAAGGAGAGAATGACAGGCTCTGGCCCAACCCCAGTCCCCTTTTAAGTGCTGGCAGGAATTACAACCTAGGGATCATGGCCTACCTCATAGACAATGTAGAGGGACAGTGCCACCAGGGAGAAGTTGTAAACAATCATGAAGCCTCGGAGTTGGAAGGGCTTCCGATTAGCCATGATGCGAGGTCCAAGGGAGAGGACGAAGTACACATAGGTTAGGAGTATGGAAGTCATTAGCAGAGGGGACCCCATCAGAGGGTAGCTCTGGACCCGAGGATCTGTGAATAAATGTCAAAGGAGTCAAGAAAGGTCACAGGGCTCACAGGACTCACCAGGTCTGCAGATATGAGGGATTCATAGGGAACCTCCCCATAGGACACAGTCCCTAGATGCTGGGATCCCAGGAAAGGGCCAGTGGACAGCATCTTACCTGAATACTTCATCACCTCCTGGTACCAGTTCACAACAGCCTCCATCCTGGCTAAGGAGTCTGTGGAGCATAGAGGGTGGACATGAGACGGGGTGTACTGCACAACCCCACTGAACACCTGATTCACAGGGACAAAACACATAACAGACAACTCGGATGCCACATTGAGAAAGGGCAGAAGTACCAAGAAAGCAAGGCACTGCTGGAATCTGGGAGAGGAGATAGCTTGGCCAAGGGATCTACTCCCTGTGCAACAACTCGCCTCCCATATCATCCTTGCTCTCCACACCTCACTTTCTCCTCTACTCTCCAGAGTTTTACTGCCTGTCTTTCCTTCTTACTCCATGGCAGAACTCTCAATTCCTGGTTTCCTTCCAGAGCTTACCCAGTTCACCAGCATGGAACTCATTTCCAGAATGAACTTCCATACCCTTCCTCACCAAGTCTCACCCCCACCCTCCAGCTCAGAACAGCCTTTCTCTCTTGGGAATCCTCACTTCAATCCATCCTCCTGTGCCAGACCCTGATCCCTTCTGGAACCTCACTGACCCGGGGTTCCTCCCCTGCCAAACACTCATGTCTGTGCGTTTCCCCTCTGCCTTTCAGGACTCTCACCTCCAGGTTCCTCTCCTCTCCTTTTCTCTCCTCTTCTCTCACAGTGCTCTTCCTCTCCAGGAGCCAGGCTCTTAGAGACTCCTGCCCTAGTGGCTCCACCTGTCTGACTAGATCTGGCAGCAGCCCCGCCTTCTTCCCCGCCTCTGTCCCCTCTGTATTGGGCATGGAGTGGAGGGTGGGTCCAGGCCACAGGTCAGTGCCTAGAGAAGCAGGACCCACCAAGATTGGGAAAGCCCCACATGTGCCACCCGCAACCCTGGATCATTTACATGAACTAAGATCCTAGGTTCCCCAGTAACCTTCCCTAGAGTATCCCCAGCCATGGTCCAAGGAAATGCCAAAATTTCACACCCAGCATCCATTCCTGAGCAGCCACGAATTCTGTTTGTCCTACTTCAGAATAGGTACAAGCACCTTTTCTTCCCAGAAAGGGACATGGAAGCCAGTGGCACGTGAGGAGGCAGGTGCAGAAGGTCTCAGGAATTTCCTAATGGGCCAGGCCCTCTCCCCTCAAGTTAGCAGGAGGGCTCAAAGGGACACAGAAACCTCTGCCTAGACCCAGAAGAGATTGAGACTCTGATACTGTACAAGAGGGACTCGAGGTAATCGCTCACAGCAGGGCAACAACAGGTGCTCTCAGTCCCTTCCACATAAGAAACAACCTGTACAAAGTACCTTCTGACACTTCCAGCAGAGGCTGCGCATGCCACTTGGGCACTCATATCCCAAGGGCTCTCTTACACCTCATCATCCCACCCTTCTTCAGATGCACCATGGCATGGCCCCAATCCCTGCCACAGACACACACTGGTACACTTGCACATACCCGCCTGTCCACAGCTCATGACCATCCCAACAACACACCACAGGCTAACACACATCTACACACAGCTCACATACTTGTGCTGGTTTGCCCAGCCTGACACATCACCCAAACTGACCTGCATGGACTATGATATGCATGCTTCCCAAGCCTTAGGAAGAGCCTGTGACTGCACTTGGGTCCTGTGAAACCCTGTGCAAATGCATCATAACTCTCACAGGCTCAGGCCCACACCTGCTCAAGTTACACATCTAGCTTACTCACAGGTGTGAGCCACCAAGAGCTAAAAGACCATCTGATCACTCATACCATAACCAGATGGGCATCTGCCTGGGTCACACACTCATCTCTTTTGGCGGGTGACTCCTCATTTCTTCTTGGCAGCCTTGTTGGTGGCCTAAGCTATGGCAGGGCCTAGCACTTAGGCGTGTGCTCTCATACACAGTTCTGCCACACGTGAGCTAGCTCCTTATCTCTCTCAACCACTACCCCAAGTTCACCCCCACAGGCGCACAGGCACCCTGGAGGTCAGGAGGGACTCGAGGCTTGGGGGAAGGACTGCTCCCCAAGGCTGAGGAAGTCTGGGTGTGCCCCCACTGGACAGCTCAACCGGTTCCTTCCTTTTAAAAATGGATGTAAGGGAAAAGGACACTGGCAAAGGAAAGGGACGGGGAAGGGAGGAGAGAGGAGAGGATGGACAGGGGCAAGTCCAGGAGGTGGTGGAGGAAGGCCTCGGTGAGCGCAAACGGGCAGCGGGGATGGGGGCTGGCAAGGCCAGGCCCCAGGAACTGGACCTCCCACCTACTCACCCCAGAACAGCCTCGCCCACTGCCTGGGCAGGGCAGGGCTGGGCTGGGCAGGGCAGGGCTGGGCTGGGT